TCTCTCTCTCTCTCTCTCTCTCTCTCTCTCTCTCTCTCTCTCTCTCTCTCTCTCTCTCTCTCCTGTAGGATTCAAGCACCTGGATCCCTGATCACTTGTAATCAATTCTGAGGAATGAATTCTCTATACTGCCACCATTCTGGAGCACAATGCAGCCACTGCCATTCTGGACTACGTTGCTCTCAAAGCTAAATCTCTCTCTTTTGCAGTTTTGAGGCTGCCAAGGTGGAGACACTCAGCCTCTAGTGATGCCCTCAGGCCATCTTTTGTACTCTCCTGTTCCTTCTAAGCAACCAAGATCTCCCTAACTCTAGCTATACTGGAACTTCTTTTCTGACCAAACACAATTTGAATCATTCTGCTGGGCTTCTTGCTCTTGATTCTCAACATAAACCTGGATAAAAGCCCCCAAATGGAGTCATGCCACTTGCCTCAACATTCAACTGCCTTGAAATTTTTTCTTCCATGTTAATTAATCTGTCACCCTTAATTTCAGTGTTATGCAGTCTCTGTACACAAACAAAATGCAGCTTAACGCTCTGCCAAGCCATAATATATATCATTTGGAGCCCCACAGCCAGTGCAGTCTTTCTTCCTAGCAGAAACCGCCCAAACCTGGACTTTACCCGCCAGATTTCTATCAGCCTTCTGGTCTTCTGAGCTCTGATCAGAATCTTCCATACAGAACATCCTAAGCATTCCGGCTCTACTATTTTCTCTGTCATCTCCAAACCTTTCATACAAGTCATTCCCAAAGGCCCTTTTGAAATTAGTAAGGGACATTTGAATTGTATGACTAACAAGTCAAACCATTATCAGGCAATAAGGTTGCATTTCTTTTTTGACCAGTGATAAAAGCTATTTTTGGCTAGATAGTGACTTTTAGTTAATAAGAACATGCTCTATCTACAAAGAGAACAATTTCATGTCATCATCCAGCATGAATCAGGTAGGAAATCTCATCAGGAAATCTCTTCCCATTTAAGTTAGATGGAACACCTGAGCCAGGCAGACCTTGCCATTCCAGGCCACATTCAGTGGCAGTGGCCACACAAGTCAGGAAGAGCCTTAATGCCTAGGACTGACACAGAGGCAACTGCAGACACAAAGAAGTATTGATTTTCCAAGCCTCGGAGTGGCCAGATTAGACTTTCCTAAAGATAGGGACCAGGTCTTTTTTTTCTTTTCTTTTTTCATCTTATAAACCACCTCTTTCCCCACAGAGTCCAAAAGAACATCTGAAAGACTAGCATGAAATGCTAAGTTGAATTACTGGCTTCAGTACAAATACAAAACCTATCAGATCTCCTTCCTGGACACGATCCGCACCCCACAGCAGCTGGCCCTCTGCCCTGTGCGTTTCCTTCTCTCATCCTGGAGAGCCGAGTGGCTGTTTCTTCACAGCTTCCCACAGAAATAAAAATGTGGCGCACCTTCCGCCTGCCTCCCTGGCTGAGTCTGTGTCCCAGGCTGTTTCCACGCAGCCCAGAGAAGCAGAGAGCGAGAGCTGACATGGGGAGCTTCAGTTCCAGGCCTGATTATCCCCTCCCATCACTTAATGAATGCCTACTTTGTGAAATGGATTTAAATGTTCTGAAACCAGACCCTTTAATAAATAGGTGAGTGTAACAAACAGGCCACCAAGGAGCTCCTCTGCTTCAGACTTTTGCTTCAACTCCTCCAAAGGGACTTGTGCGGAGATCACCAATACAGTCCTAGTCAGCAGAGGCAGCGGGCGCCCCCATTCACTGTCCTCCTTGGCTTCTCTAAAGCTGTGAAGCCGAGCACAGGTGGGGCACTCCCCAAGCCTTTCCGTCCTGTGCTTTGGTGAGATACCGTAGAGGAGACAGCAGTACAGATCACAGAACTACATGATCCCAACCTCATCACCTGCTAGCTGGCAAGCTGCCACCCAAGCTAATGGAAAATGATCGGAACCAAGAAGGCAACCGACTTTATGAGGCCGGTGGGCTGATGGGCACGGCTCCCAGAGCATCAGCCCAGAGCCAGCTTTGGGCTTAGTTTATACAGGTTCGCAAGCAGGAGATACAGAGGCTTAAAGGCCCGGTGAATCTTTCTGGGTAGCATCAGTTATTCTTGTTGCTGGGCAGAAAGTCACTGAACCCCGTTTAGCAAAAGGTATGTACAGACTGCACAGCTGAGTGTGGTCAGACTGAGCCGGGTCAGGTCAGCTCAGGGGTAGTCAGTCAAAGCTGAGCGAGTCAAAAAGGCAATCTACACAGGGGGCTGCATGATCTTATTTTGTCCTAGTATGGTGTCAGACTACTAGTTGATTTTTAAATGTTCTTAAAATTCCCATCACAGCTTGACTTCTATGTTCCTCAGGCTCTTCATCTCAAAAATGGTGGTAGCAGAACTTAGCCTATTGATGCATTAATTAACTGATGCATGTGGCATAAGCAGAATGCTCTCACATCAGTGGCACCTGATATTATCTGAATTACTTTTAACACCATTTTTGTCATTTTCTTTCTATTCTGGTCATTGTCTCACAGTCTGCAGTGTCTTTGCTGCTCTAATTCTCCTACCGCCCATCCCATGGTGTCCTTGTTTCTCTTAGTGGCACAAGCTACTCTCACATCACCTAGTTTGCCCTCTATGGTCGCTTGAAGTCAGAGCGCAAAGCCTCTTGTGACAATTAATCCTGACGGTCACCTTGGTCGGAGTAAGAAGCTCCTGGCGAAGCGGGGAAGCCTGCTCCCGGGGGTGCTGGGTGGGTCTCAGCTGTGCTCCATGACTGTCTGCTCCCACAGTCTTCCAAGGTCTCCCCTACTGCTAGGACCTGACCAGCCTGCCCTGCTGCTGCGCCTTCCACCGTGACCTCTCCACTTTGCAGACCACCCGTCTCAGATGAAACCCTGAGAAAATTCAACCACTGCTCGAAACTGTGGGTGTCAGGTATTATCTCAGCGATGGGAAGCCGCCTGACACGCCTCTCGATCCCAGTTTCGAGCCGGGTCTCTCTTGAGAGCCAGGGTGCCTCTCCACATCTTTATTGTACAGTTCCATTTGATGGTACTATGAA